TCCAGTAGTCATGTACAGATGTGAGAGTTGGAACATAAAGAAGGCTGAGCACCGAAGGATTGATGCTTTTGAACTGTGGTGTTGGAGAAGACCCTTGAGAATCCTTTGGGCTGCAAGGAGACAAACCAGTCAGTTCTAAAGGAAATCAACCCTGGATATTCATTGGACAGACTGATTCTGAAGATCCAATACTTTAGCCACCTGATGGGTACAGATGACTCATTGGAAAAGACCCTAATGCTGGGAAAGATTGAAGATGGGAGGAGAAAGGGACTACAGAGGATGAGATGGTTGGATGACATCATCGACTCAATGGACATGAGTTTGAGTAAGCTCCAGGAGATAATGAAGGACAGGGAAGCCTGATATGCTGCACTCCATGGGATCACAAAGAGACAGACACGGCTAAGCAACTGAATAAGAGCAGTTTCTATAGAAACTGCTTCCCTGGTAGCTCAGCTGATAAAGAATCTGCCTGCAATGCAGGAGACCCTGGTTCGATTCTGGGTCATGAAGATCCCCTGGAGAAGGGATAGGCTACCCGCTCAAGTATTCTTGGGCTTCCTGATGGCTCAGCTGGTAAGAAATCCGCCTGCAATGAGGGAGACCTGAGTTCAATCCCTGGGTTGGGAAAATCCCCTGGAGAAAGGAAAGGCTACCCACTCCAGTATTCTGGCTTGGAGAATTCCATGGACTGTATAATCCATGGGGTCACGAAGAGCGACTTTTGCTTTCACTGAAAGTCATGACTGAGCAACTTTGACTTCACAGCAGAGTCTCTGTGAAGCAAACCCTATGTTTGCGTTGATCTCTTTTCTGTTCATGAAGGTGATGTTCCGGCAGTGGATGTGAGGTGGGAGACAGACCTCCATATACAATTATTTGAAAATGGTATTCCTTAAGGTGCTTTTTACTGCCCCTAACAAATAACTGGACTCAAAGGGGTTTGCAGCATGGCTTTCTGAAGTGTGATCCATGCACCAGTACCATTGGCATCCCTTGGACATTTGCTAGAAATGAAGAATCTCAGCCCCCTCCTCAGACCCACAGAGTTAAAATCCATGAGGACATATTCCCATGTGACTCATATGCACATTAAAGTTTGGGAGGCACTGGTTAATGCCATAGGTTATCTATCATCTTACATTACAATAAATCTACAGTTGGAGTGACTCCAAACCATTCAGTCTGTGACTCAGATGTGTCGTCAGGGTCGCAAGCTATTTCCATGTATTGGCTTCTCTAGTCTCCATCTGTCCTCAGATACTTTTACAGTGGGAGGCTGGCTGCAGCAGTTCGTCCTGTCATATCCTGACATGCTTCTGTCTCTAGACTTTGTCAGGACTGTCTCCTGTCTGGAGCTCTTTTATTCCAATTCAGCCGCCGCCTCTCTCGAGTGCCAGTCATATATTTATGCTCCATTCTTCCTGTGATTTTATGTCCCTTTCTAAATAACCACTTGAAAACCATAAACTGCAACCAAGAAAAATGCAAACTCTTTCCTTGCCTGTGGGTGGTAGATTTTTATTTTATGAATTTGATTAATTTCCCCAATTTATTTGCATCTTGAGAATGTTAGTTGGAAATGTGGACTTTCTCATTTTAATAGTGTTTTCAGTTGAACAGAATGAAAGTATCATTTTTACAGAATAAAAACCTCAAACACCAGCAACTTCATATGAACCAACCTAGTATAACATTTTATCAATAAAGAAGGAAATGATTCAAGGTTAAGAGCACAGACCTGGGTCACAGCTTAGCATTTATATACTGACTTACATGTCACTGAGATACACTGAGCAAGTTCTTAAACCTTTCCAAGTTCCAGTGTCCTCAGAATTGAAATAATAGTGTTAACTACATTAAGTGATAATGAGGACCAAATGTAATCTTTAAGTGTTTTTCAAACACAAGTTAATTATGCTCCACTTTCACAATTTCTCCTATCTCTGCACTTGTCTTTATCATTATATATTTAATACTTTTCCTTAAAATAGTAAATTTTTACTTAATTTTAGCTGATTTTTCATCCTAAGCAATATGATCTCTTATATCCATTAAAATCATATATATGCACACTATATATAAATATGTATGTGTATATACACACATAAGCTCAATGTGTATACACACACACACACACACTAAGACATCCCCCAAGAGGATGGAATGATGCTGTTGTTTCAAGTTGGTCTAGAGAAGTAAAGCAGGGATTTCTTTGGCTAGGATACAGTGATGTGATTGTACCAGTCAGTAAAATATTGAACCACACAGGCTGCACACTCACTGTCCCCATACACCATTTTCCACCCAGCCATGCCAGCCCCTCCTCCAAGAACCTTCAGTTCCATATTTTTACATTCCACCTATAAAAGATGCGATACCTGAGAAAGTACTTTTTGGTACATCCATTCTTAGTGGTTAGTCTCTGAGTCTAGGTTCATCAGGTGAAATCACTGTTAAACATAAAAGGTTACTTGAGGTTCAGACTTCACATTTTCAGGCAGAGCTCAAGAAATTTCCCAGAACTCATGGGTTAGTGTAAGGTATGACATTGTATAACTCTCCCACACCTTATATCATCAAACTGTATTGGCCTTCCTGGTCCTCTAATGCCTTAGGAAATTTGCACAGGTGATTCCTTCTATTTAGAAAGTGTTTACCCCATCCTCTTCACTACCTCCTCTTACTTAAGGCTTTAGAGTTATTCAAATGTTAGTGTTTCAGAAACATCTTTCCTTACGTCATGAACTCAATTCAGTTACTTTCATTTCAAAGCATGATCACAGTTACAATGAATTAATGGCCTCATGAGCCATATATTATCTGTGACCCCCATTCAGAAGGTAAGCTCCATGACTGTAAGGGTCTTTGTCACTTCACCATTCATAGTATCTAAGTACTCAGTAATTCCACATTTAATAAGTATGTGACTCAGTTCTTCAAGTCTCAACTCTCAGGCTCTGTGCTGTGTAATGACATCATTCATAAAGAGCCCAGGTCAACGTGGAGCCATTTTTATGTCCCCTCTGAATATACACAACTGTAACTATAATGATTTCCTCATTCTATTATAATTGTTGACAGATATTTCCTTAAAAGTCTCTAAGCTACTTGAATATGAGGATGTTTTATTTTGTCCATCTCTAACAAATAGGAGTTTCTAGAATAGATGTGGCGGTCCAGTAAATATTTGTTGGATGAAACATCTCTCCAAAAGTTAAAAAAAATGATATTTTAAAATGAAATTCCTTATTAACACTAACACATGTATGTTTAACTTGAAACATTTCTTCAACTATAAATAATAATATGGACTTTTTTATTCTTTAGTTTCTGAAATGTGAGATTTTAGCTCAATGTAAGAACAAACCAGGCAGGAAAAACAGCAAACACAAGGAATTATATTGTAGCCAATTCTCATGAAATCTTATTATCAAGTCAGTTCTCAAGGGATAGACTGAACCAATAAAATAAAAGATTTATATACCTTGCAATGCCAAGATGGTGTTCATTGTCTAAGAAACTTAAACAAGCAACTTTGAGTTTTTGCTTCCACTTAAATGGATGCTTTATCTATGTTGCTTCCCATAAAATGAAAATGTCTACTTTTTCTGTTTGACAAACGAAAGCTCATTCTCATAGACTTCTGATTACAGTGTGCTTCAGGGGACCTGTGTCTCTAAAAGGTTAAAGCTGTAATGATAAATAGTATAACCTAAATGATTTTAAACACTCTCAGTTATGTGTATATTTTGTATGTTTAAATATATTGATTAATGGAAATTTCTGGTAAAAAATTTTATAAATAAGAATAATAAATAATTAAAATTATGTCTTCTGTATTGACATTTTAAGATCAGTGTGCAGTATACTATGGTTCTCAAAAATGCTTTAAACATGCCTTCATAAAGAATATTTACCTTAAAACTTGTACTAACACTTCTCATTTGTCTCTCAGCTTTTTTTTTTGAATTAATAGATGAAATAACCTAAATTTTACTTTTCATCCTTACTATGAAGTTGTGTGATTGATAAGCAAGATGTCATCTCATGTCTGTCATGCCGATATTCACACTGAGAAGATTTAAGAACTTGGTTCTAAGGCGTATAGCCAGGCTGTGAACTAAAACCAAGTGTTTGGACTTTAAATCCATTGCCCAGCCCACTAATGTATACATCATTGACAAAAAGAAAAAAAAATACCCTTTCACTCATCTTATTTGTGCATAACAAATGACTCCCAAACTGCAGCTTAGTACAAAAATTTATAATTCCATCTTGAGTATGTAGATCATGTATATGGTCAGGGCTCATCTAGGTTGTTGTTCTGAGATTGTGGTATAGCTGGGGTCACTCACTGGGCTTCATTCATCAGGAAGCTTAACTTTTAAGATTGCTTTTTATTCTCCAGAGTTACTCGCAGGATGGTCTCTAATCATTTGGTAGTCAGCTTGGGCTTCCTTACAGCATTGTCCCGAGAGACAGAATACAAATGGTGCTCATTCCCTTACAGCTTACGCTTAAAACTTGTATAATGTCACTTCTGCCATATTGTGTTGGTCAGAACAAATCACAAGGCCAGTCCATATTCATGAGCATGGAACATTGACTCCATCTCTTAGTGGCATCACAGAGAATTTGTAGCCATGTTTTATCACCACACATATATTAAAATAATGGACATAAAAGCAAACAATTGCCAGGATATATTACTAGCTCAATTACCAGAGATGGCTCTCACTTTATTTATCATGTTCACATTTAGTTAGCTGTGTGAAATGTTCTGAATTTGGAATGTGTGGACTATCAAATGCTGAAGAAAGAATACCTTCAGAGGTGATTGATTATGGGTTTTATTTACCTTCTTTCTTAATGTCCAGCACATGCCAAACCATGTTAACACACATTCAAATGTCAATAGTTTTACCTAGTGATAGGTTTAATAATAGTAAAGTTATTTTGACAGAAGCAATAATAGGTATCTTTCAAATTTTCAGTTTACATAAAGTTCTCATGGATCTCCAGAATCAGCAACTGAAAGAGTTAAATGACTGGTTAACAAAAACAGAAGAGAGAACAAGGAGAATGGAAAAAGAGCCCCTTGGACCTGATCTTGAGGACCTAAAACGCCAAGTGCAGCAGCATAAGGTTAGTATATTTTATGCTATTTGCTTTCATTTGGAAAACAAACTGTGTATATGTGTATCACGTACATACACATGCCATGGTTTGCAGATAAGAGAGAACTGAAGCTTCAAATGAGAAAAGGTTTAAAATCTTACCTAATATTTTTGAAGTGTTTACTTTTTTGAATACAAAATAGCTAGGCTTTTCATACTTGAAAAAAATTCAAATATATTCCTGGAAGAGAACAATGCAGCTATGTGATTTATTAAAATTTTGGTTTCCTGGAAGAGAGCCTCTGTAGGGATTACGTGAAAAGCAAATTTACGTAATAAGGCAAGATTTTTTTAAACATGTTTTTACCTTCAATTCATAAGGTCTGCTTACAGCAGGCCAAGCTTAATGAAAAATGGACATCTGTAACATTGCTTTCCTGTCAAATGTAGCATCTAATAACTTTAATATTTCCATCTTATCTTGTACATTTACAGTTATGCTCCCTGATTACCTGCAAGTATTTATTGTTTCTGTGATTAGAATTTCTACAGAAATTTTCTTTTCAGCATCCATTTTTTTTTATTGAAGTATAATTGACATATTCATTTCAGGTGAGCAGCATAATGATTCAATATCTGTAAATACTGTCAAATGATGTGCACAATAAGTCTACAGTTAACATCCATCACCATATAAAGTTTAAAATCCTTTTGTGTGTGTGTGTGAAGAGAGCTTTTAAGATTTACATTCTTGGCACCTTTTAAATATGTACCCCAATATTACTGATTATAGTTACCATGTCATAGATTACATCCCTGTGACTTGCTTATTTTATAACTGGAAGTTTGTACCTCTTGAGCCCATTCACCCATTTCACCTGGTGCCCAAGCCCCCTCCCCTCTGGCAACCACCATCCTGTTGTCTGTAAGTTTTGTTTTATTTGTAATGACTTTTAGATTACACACGTAAGTGAAATCATACAATATTTGTCTTTGTCTGACTTGTTTTATTACCATCTTTCCCTCAAGATCATCCAAATTGTCACAAATGGCCAAGATTGTATTATTCTTTGGTCTTTTTGTGGAATATATACAACATTCCAACATATATATGCACCACACATTCTTTATGCATTCATCCATCAATGACGAATTAGGAAACAACTCCTTAGGTTGTTTCCATGTCTTGGCTATTGTAAATAATGCTTCAGTGAACATGAGGGTACATATATCTTTTCAAGGTAGTATTTTTGTTTTCTTTGGATAAATATCCAGAAACGGAAGTGCTGGATCATATGTAAGTTTTATTTTTAATTATTTTTAGGAATATCCGTGCTGCTTTCCACTGTGGCTGTGACAGTTTACACTCCCACCACCAAGTGCATTAGGATTCCTTTTTCTCTACATTGTCCCCAATACTTGTTATTTCTTGTCTTTTTGATAATAGTGGTTTTGACTTGCAGTTCCTTAGTGATGTTGAGCATCTTTTCATGTGTCTTTTGGCCTTTTGTATGTTTTCTTTGGAAAAAGAAAACCTCTGACCTTTTTTTAAAAATCAGATGTATATCTTTTTGCTGTTGAGATGTATGAGTTCTTTATATATTTTGGATATTAATCCACTATCAGATATATGCTTTGCAGGTGTTTTTTTTTTTCCCATTTGATAATTGCCTTCTCATTTTGCTGATGGTTTCCTTTGCTGTACAGAAGCCTTTTAGTTTGATACATTCCCACTGGTTATTTTTGCTTTTGGACTCAGATCCAAAAAATTGCCAAGACTGATGTCAAGGAGTTTGCCACATATGATTTCTCCTAGGAGTTTTATGGCTTCAGATCTTATATTCAAGTGTTTAATTCATTTTGAGTTGGTTTTTATGTAAAGTAAAAGATAGCAGTCTAATTTCATTATTTTGCATGTTCCTGTCTAGTTTTCCTGGAACCGTTTTTTTTTGAAGAGACTGTCCTTTCCCCCTTGTATCTTCTGGGGGCCTTTGTTACGAACTAATTGACCAAAATTTATGCTTGAGTTTATTTCTGTATTCTATTCCATTGATCTATATGTCTGTTTTTTATGTCAATACTGTACTGTTTTGATTACTGTAGTTTTGTAATATGAATTGAAATCAGGCATCTTGATGTCTCCAGCTTTATTCTTTTTTCTTCAAGATTTCTTTGGTTATTTGGGGTCTTCTGTGGTTCCATTCAAAATTTAGGATTGCTTGTTTTATTTCCATGAAAAATGTTGTTGGAATTTTGATAGGGATTGCATTGAATATCTTGATTGTTTTAGGTATATGGACATTTTAACAGTATTCTTCCAGTCAATGAGAATGGAATATATTTTCAATTATTTGTGTCTTCAGTTTTTTTTTGTCAGTGTCTTACAGTTTTCAGCATACAGGTCTTTCACTTCATTGGTTAAGCTTGTTGCTAGGCAAATTAAAGTTAAATTTCTTACTAGGCATTTTATTCTTTTGATGCAATTGTAAATGAGATTTTAAAAATATTTTTCTTCCTGATATTTTTTGTCATTGAATAGAAATACAATAGGTTTTTGTATATTGATTTTGTACCCTGCAACTTAGTGAATTCATTTACTTTTTTTGTGGAGTCTTTAAGGTTTTGTATATATTAAATCATTTGCATTGTGATAATGCTTCATTCTAATAACCATTATAAAACTAGCTAGCTCTGGATTTTATTGTAGGAACAGAGTCTTGCTCAGTCCATCAGGACACACATGTGCACATGCACACACACACACACACACACACACACACAGAATAACCTTCATGACTGGTCCAAGACTAAGGTAGCCAGATTTAGCAAATAAAAATGCACGAAGCCTAGCCTAGTTAAACCTACTTAAATTTGAAGTTCACATCAACAGTGAGTTTTTTTTTTTTTAGTAAAAGTATGTCCCAAATTAGTTATTATTCAGCTAAAATTCAGATTTTAATGGGCATCCTGGATTTTATCTGACAACTCTATTCAGGAGTCTGTGCTTCTTGGATTTATGGCTTTGGAAGGAAATATCTGCTGTCTTAACTCAGACCTTCTAAATCTGTATCTCACCCAACTTCGTTTTATATATATATGTATACATATATATATAGTTTTGACAGAGTTAGCTTCACAGTTCCTTCATGCAGACGAAGGAGACCTTTCTTTCAAAGTCCTAGAATTCTTTTTTATTTCACGAGCTTCAGTTTCTGTGACAAATGGAGCTGGTTTTTGATCTTGCTGTAGCCAAAACCATCCTTTGGCCACAACAGCTTAAGGTCAAGCAATTTTGGGAGAGTTAGAGCTATGGTAATCCCAGCTACTGTGCCACTGGGGAAAAATAAAGCATCAACTATATTGTAATTTTCATATGGAAATTGTAACTAAAAGAGGTTCCCCTTGTCACATAAATTTTATTTGAAAATCTGATGAAGTTAGGGCCATTGCTAGACCTTGGCCTGGGCCGCTTCTGCTGGGTGCATCATGTGTTCCTCTGATGGACCCGATACCTGTTTGCTTCCCCTTGGCCTACACTGGAAGTTGTGTGCAGATAGATTCTATATACACCAGTGACTTCCTCTCAGTCTGAGGACATTTGCTGGCTATAGGAGAATCTCGGCCAGTTCAAACATGGGCAAAAAGTAGTTAGTACTGCCAGAGCTGCCACTAACCAAGGGGGGATGGGAGATGATAGATTAATATTCTAGAATTCTGGCCCCATGGCAGAATGATTCCAAAGCATCTCTCAATTTCCAGAGTTCCTCAGAGGTTTCCCAGCAAGACTGGGCCCCAGAAGTCCACAAGGTCAGCTGTCTCACTGTCCTGCCCTTTCATAATATCTCCTGAGATGACTTCTCAAGTAAACCATTTCTACCCCAGTACTTGGCTTAGGGTCTGTTCAGGAAGGAACTCAAGCTAAGACAACCTTCTCACCTGGGAAGTCTGAGGGTTATCCCAGCTTACCATCAACTACATGCGTAATTTTAAGAAATTATTGAATCTCTCAGGTTCTCCATATCTTCATTCTGGAAATGAAAGGGTTGAGCCCATTGATTTTTAGTGTTCCTTCCAGTCTTGGTTTCAAAGTTTCCATTAGTCTTGGAATGGCATGCATTTCTGGCAAGGGCAAAACTATGGGCAGTGACACTGAATATCAGAGGGAAGGATGTCAGCCCTGGATGCCCGGAGTCTAAAGAGGAAGCCAGCAAGCAGGCCCACGAGAGAGAAGTGGCAGAGAATGGTAGGGCAGCCATGAGTGTGAATGACTTAGGACCGCTGTGTGCAAAGGTCTCACCTGGAAACCAGGAACAGAGCCCTCATGGAGGTTAGGATGCCCAGGGTCTTTGTATTCTGCCAGTTACCGGAGAGGTTTTGCACTTTCCTCTGGAAGATAAATAGTGAATGGAACGGAAATGTGTCTAATATTGTCATAAAATTTGAACAGATTGTCCATTACTTGAAAATGGGTCATTTCTGATGAGTATGAAATTGCTTTGAAGAGAATAATTTGAAACAAAAAGGAAGTAACATAATTATATGCAGGTTGATTATGTAATCATTTATATCTAGGATTTATTCACATAAGTGCATAAGGAAAACCAGAAGGAATTGGTTTACTGGCACAGAAAGTGAGGTTAGTGTATACCTTTAATTGTTTAAACCCATTTCACAATATATTATTTTTTTATAAAATTAAGACAAGGAAAAAATATATTACATAGCTAAGAGAAGTCTGACAGTTGATAATTCTCTTTTGTTACTTGAAGTAATTACAGTGAGAAGACAAAAATTTGACAAAATCAAATAATTTATAAAGGAATCAAATTTGTTTAAATTGGAAACATATTTTTTTAGAAGTATACACTAAAAGAAGTAAATTATTTGTGTTAGTCTTTCCATGCTTCATAAAACAGAAGAAAGGATAAATGTTCTTGCTTAGGTACCTGAATTCAAACTAAAGCCTTATTTAAATAATCACTGATTTACTTTGCAGCTTTTCTTCCCAAGGATTCTTAATGAATGAAA